TATTTTGGAGCAAGTATGATTCCATTACAAGCATCAGCCTTTAATTTTGAATACAAATAAAACTCATTTGGAGGTTTAGGCTCTCCCTTTTCTCTAGCAAATTGTATATATTGCCCCTCCTCTGGCAAGTATTTGAACTGTTTCTTTCAAAGATTGCATTAAGATCATTAGAAATGAGCTAATGTCTTTTTGGTATCATTTGTGCCATGCATAAAGAGAAGAGAGTTCTTGTCTAGAGCATTGCCCCAGCATACCTATAAGGGAGTGCATAGGAGACAAAAGCCCTGAGCGCACATGTGCGATGGGCCCCAGCTCCTCCTCTTCCTCTCTTTCTGCACTGCTGCTCTTCTCTTCTGCAGTGTTTCCTTGCCATAAAATCTCACTGTCTGTTCCTCACTTTGGCTTAAAACAAGCTCTTCTGTTTGCACCCCGCCTCTTGTTCAGGCAGGCGTTCCCTCAACATCTTCCCTCTCCCAGTTGCTTCCCGCGTACCCTTTCTAAAGGCCAGCAAACATCATTCCTTCCTGGTTTCCTGTTGCATTTTCCTAAAAAATCCTGTATGTATTTTTTCCTATTTTGGCTACATTTTCTTTAAAATCCAGAAAAAAAATGCCTCAAAATACTTTTCCACGCCTTCTATCTATTCCATTTAATTTTTTTTTCCAGTAGTCAATAGAATTTAACAGGGCAGCAATATACCAATTTACTGCGAATGCCATCCTGAAGCTCTTGAATTGCATTTGTTTAAGCTGAAAGGAAACAAGCCCCCTGCCTGTGGCCTGCAACAAAGCACAGAGCGCTTCAAACCCAAAGTAAATAATCTCACCAAGTTATGAACGATTAAAAATGGATGGCTGGAATTCTTCTGTAGTGCCACAGTGAGTGACGCTCACAAGAGCATTAGTTTTTAATACCATTTTTGGTTGAGTGTTTTGCCTGAGAGAAAAGCGAGCATGGGATATCTGCCGTGAAGACCCTAATGACAGTGGGATGGCAGCAGTGATTGCTCTTGGTGGCCGCTGTACGAGGCCTTGGTTTGATTCTTGTCCACTGTACACACTGGGCCCCGGCCTTGCGTCCCTTACACCAGTTTTGCAGATATTGTAATAGGGGAGGATGACAGGCTGCGTGTTTGGTGGTGCACTGGTGGTTACAGTGGTTGAAAAAGAAACCAGGAGAAATACGGCCAACAAAAGCTTTTAACTGGAGAGTAAGAAACCAATAGCGCAGAATGAGAACTGTATCAGGCAGATTTTGAGAAAATAAAGGGGTATCTAATTGAAATCTGTGGTTGCTCTGTGCCAAAGTTAAAACATGAACGTTCCTCTCCCAAAGTACATCACCTTATTACCAAAGTGGGACCCCAGGAATAATGCTTGCCTGATACACCTTATAAATCACCTGTGTACATCTACCTGGCATCCTTTGATGCAGAGCAGACCCTGAGGCCTGTGTTGGAGCTGATGGTTAGCAGCAGCACGTGGCCCTGAACACACAAGAACTGCTGCCAAGTTGTATGGCTGAGCACTGCAGGGCCTTTGCACGGGGAGTATGAGCATCCCTTGGGGAACTTGGGACTGAGTTAGTCTAGGCTGGCCCTGCAGATAGTTGAGTATAGGGGTCTATAAATTTAAATCAACTCTTTCCCAGCTCTTCTCTTTCATAGATGCTAGTTACTTACCGATCAGTCTGCCCTCTTCCTCTGTTTTGTGAACGCTGAAAATCCCCTTTGAAGACTTTTTATTTGTTTATTTTAATTATTTAGTCTCCCTCCTTCACTGAATAGTTTTCTGCTCTACAGCATTTTTCCCGATTTCTTCTACCTTGCCTTTATTATTCATATGTTGAATCTGAGGCTCTGCTTGAACAGGCAGGCTGGAGGCATGCAACTTCCTAGTGCAGTGGAATCTCTCCCTCCTTGTTCTCCACGTCTGAAGAGCTACACTTGAGGCAGAAGGTTGTTCATGTGGCAGACCAAACACCTCCCGTAAGGAACACGGACAGAAGGCAGTAGTAGCTTTTCCTCCAGATCARTCCCGCAGCTACTGGCAGAAGTCAGATTTCTGTCAGGATAGTTAAATTTTCTTGAGCATTATCTGCCAGTTCTCTTGGAAACTGGCTTGAGATTGCTCAAAGAATTAAAATCTTCCATCTGCTGCCATATTTACTCGCTATCAGGCTTTCGTATAGCCACTGAGTGGGAAGGTGAGTCACTGTGTTTGGCCAGATGTGATCCTCTGCTGTCATAGCCGTGCAGCACATGCAGACTCTGTTTTTATTCTTTACACGTCACTTGCTGTTTGCTCTGTTATGTCCAGGATCATCTGTCTTCACCCTTCCTCCATCTGACTCCTTGCTGACTCTCTTTCCTTCTGCCATGTACATCTTCAGCTGCATTCCTACCTCTTCATCCAAGCCTTCTTGCTTCTCCCAGTCTCCTGGATTCCTCACTTGAACCATGCATTTTCATCATATGTTGACTTTCTTAAGTATCTTCTCTTCACTTTCTACTATTCTTTTCCTTATCATCGTCTCATTTCTTGTTGCAACTTTTAAAAAATATATGAAGAGCCATAAGCTGTGTGGGCTTTTCCTTGTTTTTATAAAGAGGAAAACCTTTCATTTTATCATTGTGAAGGCAGAATTAAAAAAAAAAAAAAAAACCCATAAATGAAAATCTTTGAGAGCAGAAAGCAAATCTTCTGAAGAAAATTGTATAAAAATAATCTGTGCTTTTAGACAAAGAAGAACTTCTAACCTTGTGGCATGTTATGCAGGTCAGAACCCAGTCTTGGCAAGCGGGTTTCTAGTTCTTGGTCATCGTTACTGCCTCTTTCATGATTAAATGTTATGAAATGTAGAGACCCAAGAAGACCAAAAAAATAGTAAGCTGCCTTTTTGGGAGACATTCTCCCAACCCAGAAACCAGCTCTTTCTTGTAAGGTCCTTTTGTGTCTTCATCTCAAAAAATGCAGAAATGTTCCTCAAGTGCCTTATGAATACCAAAAATGGACCAAGTGACAACTTCATGGCCACTCTGTTATACAAGGTGCTGTCTTCCCCTTTGTGCACGTGGTCTGTGTACCTGCAATGGAGCTACAAAGACGATCAGGGCACTGGAACATCTGTCCTGGGAGGAGAGGCTGAGAGCTGGGCCCGTTCAGCCTGAAGAAGAGAAGGCTGAGGGGTAATCCCACCAGTGCGAATAAATACCTGAAGGGAGGGTGGCAGGAGGATGAGGCCTGGCTCTTTTCAGTGGTGGCCAGAACAGGACAAGAAGAAACGGCCACAAACTGAAGCACGAGAGGTTTGGGCTGAATGTGAGGAAAAACTTCTTTCCTGTGAGGATAACCAGAGCCCTGGAACAGGCTGCCYGGAGAGGTTGTGGAGTCTGCTCCTCTGGAGATGCTCAAAACCCGCCCGTGCCACGTGCTCTAGGGGACCTTCCTTGAGCAGGGGGTTGGACTAGGTGATCCCCAAAGGTCCCTTCCAACYTCAACTGTTCTTTGATTCTGTGAAATCAGCTTCCTGGCTTCCCTTCTGTGGGTTTTGTTCCAGCAAAGACTCTTTGTTCAGAGGTCCTGAATGGTTTGTACTGCAGTATTTATCTGCCTTGGTCTTCATAAACTACAAACTACAGCCTAATCGCTTGTCCTCTTCTGAACTGCAGACTTGGTGAGGCGTAATATGGGGACTAACACACTTAATTTTATAAGAATTTGTGGAAAAACTCGGAAAGAGTACTGTTTAACTGTCCACCAAAATTAAGATGTTGGTATACTGCAAGCCACATACCGAAACCCACACTGCCTCTCTRGTTACTTTAATTGAAAGCAGTGAGTAAACAGCTGAACGTATTTTCCCCAAAYCATATAAGCCTTACAGTTAGTGTAATCCCTATATAAATTGAGGAAAAAGTTAAACATTCCTTTGGAAAGGAGAACAACCTGCCTAATGTACTCACATGCAGTTGGGCTGGCACTTAATCCATATCCAGCATCAAGTTTCTTTTTTACCTTTAAGTATATAAATACTATTTAATTTCTTCTTTCATTGGTTTCAGTTGTATTCACTAGTTTCCAAACTTAATAGATTTTTTTTTTTTTTTTGCATTCTCATTCATCTAATTTAATATTTCAAGATATTTTGKCTAATGCTGAGTATTCGGTCCCTGAGGAAGGGCGAGTGAGTYATACATCCTGCTCAGCTTAAGGGTTTCCAGAGTGCCTCTGGAAGGCTCCCAGCTGAGCAACAAGGGCTGGCTCGAGGCTGATAAAGCTGGGGGTCAGGTTAATGGGGRGAGATCTCTCCTGATAAGCGATTGCTGCTGCAGTAACAGGAAAATGCGGAGCATGTTCACACCAAACCTGAGAAATGCGACTTCCCYCCGTGACATTCCTCAACCTCAGCCCCAAGGAAAGAAAAGTCTGTGCCTTAGCAGTGTGGGCACAGCCCAGGAAAGAGGACTGGGGCTTTGCACGTCTTTCAGCTGTGGGTGTTTCTGTTCACTAGAGTGCCCAAAGGATTGGGGCAAACCAGRGTCAGGGAAGGATCAGCAGCCAAAGAGGTGACTTTTGTGTCCCTGCTTCCATTCAATAAAGGAGCAGCTATGGAAGAGATTATGGAGCTGGCCAAGGACCACAAGAAATCGTCCCACCCAAAGCCTCCACGTTATGGAGACCTTTGCATAGAAATGCTTGGCTGTGGTGTGAAACCGGAGCTGGCTCCTGTGCTGATTGTGTAGAGTATAACAAGGTTGTGTGCCATGCAAGTGAGACTGTTCTAGCCTGGAACTTGTTTCCTGGAATTCTTTTCTGTGGGTTAGCACCTTAGACGTAGCCTGGGTTTTACACTTGTTTTTTGTTTGTTTCTRTTAGAGAGTTATTTATAAATGTATGCACTTAGAAGTATACATATTTAAATATATTTCTATACAGACCTTTATAGGTATAATTAGCACTAAAATAGTTTGATTTTTTTTCTTTTGTTTYCCCTCACAGTTTGCTGAAGGCACTCAGAAGAAGGAGGCTTTGCAGAAAAACATTGAGAAATCCAAAATCGGACGTGAGGATACTGTAAGTTGGATTTGAGGTTGGCTCGTTCTAAGAAATAGGGCTACAGGCACCAATAGTTTTTAAATGTTAACTTAGTTGCTGGAAGGCCATTAGAACTTCCAAGTATTGGTTATAAGAATATATAACCAATATAACCAATATAACCAATACTTCCAAGTATTGGTTATAAGAATAGGGAAGAAAAAAAAAATATTCCCAGAAGTTAGATTATTTATGTCTTAGTTATGCACTAATGAGTAAAAAGATGCCATCTGTCTGCTTCATGGCTGAGAAAATGTGTGACTGCCTGAAATTTGTTAATCTTTCTTCCCTTTTCCTATTTAGAGATCTCTTAAAACTTAAAGCTACTCACRGAATTATACCCAAGTTGCTGATGGTTGTTAAACTGCCAGATCTACTGGCTGCAAACTTAAATGTTGGGGCATTATTTTTTTGGACTTACTTATGATCTAAATTTCTGATTTATTATTCCAAGCAGCCAAATAAGCTTTGTGTTTTCTGTATGCTGAAAGTGTTAAAATAACACTGCAAAATAATATTTAGTCTTCACATTTAACCTACATATGCAGCGCCATTAATTTAGAAATATTTCATGAGGTATCCTAAATAATTGATCAGTTTTAGTCTAAGACTGATTTATACATTGAGTAAATAAGTGCCTGAGCACAGGTGGCAAGAAGTTTTCAGATGAAAAGAAATTTTGAGGGGAAARTGTCATGTCTCAGAATCCAAAATATGCTTTAGAAATGCTGTGTATTTGTCCACAGTCAGTGAATCTCCGGCAGGTTTCTCATGCAGCTCTGCTTGTCAGGTTTCCAAATGACCTGGAGTTAGAGACTCTGGGTGTCTCTACCACGTTGCCTGCCTGAGTTAGCAGGCAGCAGGTGAGAATCCCCTCGTGGCTGATGCTTCCAGTAGTTTAGTTCTTAATTTTACAYGAGTCTGGGAAAATCCAGCTCCTGGCGCAGGGCTCTGGGCAACCAGCTTTCGCCCCACAGAGCCTGTGATTTGGAATCTGCGTTTCCAGACTATGTCAAATCCAGACTATTGGCTGGAGGACTGGGAATATGAAAGCTTAAAAACCAAAACCCTCAGGATGCTTTGGAGAGTGACGGGAAGGCCAACAAATTCTTGCTGTGTTTTTAGGCTGTCCCTGTCAAGCCAGGCACGAGTGCTTTGACCATCCCAAATTTCAGCCAGTTACAGTGCTTGGCTGTAAATGCAGGCTCCATTAGAAATCTGTGCAGAGTTCACTGTGAGAGTGCTCACGTTGGGTCAGCTGTCTATGGATTTCTATTGATCAATAGAGTATTTGAGGTAAWACTCTCCCTATCACACACTGTCTTGTTTGGATTACCATGTTGAATTTATTCTTGAGGCTACTGCTCTTAAATGGTGTGGAACAAAGGAGGAAAATCATTTCAGAGGGCAATAGTTATAGAGTTAGTATCCAGATATTTGGAAGTGTGAATATTGGGTTTTTTTATTGTTGGGTTTTTTTTTTTTTTGGTAATTCTGTCTTCAGTTACAAGACTAATATTCTTAAATATGCTTTAACATTTAAGTCCCACAATGAAAACATTTCAGTCCAACAATGAAGAAATCTCTTCCAAGCTTGTTAAACCACACAGTTTAAACATTGTAGAAAATTGTTCTTTGTTTTGGCCTAGATTTTTCTTCCATTTTATATTTGTTATCTTCTAGTGTCGTTTGGCTTTGTGCATAAAACATTCACTGACAGAAAGCCGTAGTGAAAACATTTTTTAAATTTATACCTTTTTGCTTTTTGAAAAATGTTCTGCATAATAATTGTTGTTTTCTTTCTTTCTTGTTTGTTTGTTTTTAATGTATCTCCCAATGTGCTCTGAACCGTCAGCCTGAACGTGCAGCTCTAATAGAGGAACTTGCAGCTCTCCGGCAGAAGAAAGAGCAGCTAAAGGCAGAGATAGACAAATACAGAGAATGTGATCCAGATGTTGTTGAAGAAATGCGTAAGTTATATATTGTTGGAAGGGAACTCTTTCATAAAATAATGCCTGCACTGCTTTAGCTTTAAATCTGGTATGCAGAGATAAGCCAAAGAGTAGGTTCTTTTCCTTTTAAAGCTGTGAGCAGTACAACACAGGAACACTTTCATGTTCTCTCATATTATGTGAGAGGTTTTTTTATTAACTTTCATATGCAAATAGCTAAACAGTGAGCAAACTATTTAAATTGAAATATTCTGCATTGGATTTAGTATCAGGACTGCTCTTTCTAGAACTGTATTAATTGTATAACTTGTAAGTATACCAAAACCAAGATGGGTAAGAAAAAYAATCACTCCTGGTCTATATATTCATCCGTCATAATCACAGTGTATTCCTTCCTGGCTCCTGTTTACCTTCAGTTMCAGGTGGGCAAAATAGATACCAATCTGCTTTCTTTATCCTGTCAATTTAAGTATTTCATTAATGCCACTTATTTGTTAATGCATATKTAAGTATGGTATGGCACTTAATGTTTGTATTCTCTCTGATATGCTCATTTTTAATTGGAGTCTCTGATTCTAAAGGGATACACAAGGAATAATGAGTGACTTAAGTACAAAATAGAGAACAAGGCCCTGAAACATACTTAATATTCTGATCTTTAACATGAAAAATTAGAAGTATGCATGCAATTTTATTTGATTTTCCTCAACTTTCATGTTTTATTTATTAGGCKGCTAGGTTGCTACCCAAACACACTGCATATTCAGTTGCTGTAGTGCCAAAATGCCGTTACAGACAAATGAGGAACAGGCGCAGACCTTCTTCTGAAAAGATATCTGAGGAAATCTTTGTCTCACAGTTCTTGTAAGAAGGTCTGTACTTTTGCAACCATACTGAAAGCAAGCCAAACACATAAGCAGAGCTTGTAGCACACCCCAGATTTGGACAGATATTCTTTCATTTTGTGGGGCTGTGGCAGGTTTTTTTGTYGGCCTGTTCTCTTTCTACAAGGATGTATGTGATGGTAGCCAGAGAAGAAGGGAACTCTAGAGCTGAGGTTACCSCACTGTAAATGCAGTTCTGAATGCTCTCCTGGGGACAAGCAGCAGACACATTCCAGCTGATTCCAGCTGTAAAAATGAGTGGATGCAGGCAGAAACTGAGAACAGATGAATTTCGAGGCCTAGGTGCAGTTGCTGAGCTGCCCTTGCTGCAGTGGATGAATTGAGGGGGCCTCTCTTTTGAAGTAGGCTCAAGAGGACAAATCACAGCTTGAAGAGCAGAGTAACCACATTAGCAAAAAGGCTAATAGTCAGGAAAGAGAGGAAGAAATGTAATGGTCACCTTGTTAGTATAGAAAGTTAAAATCCTTGCTCAGTGGCAGGAAAATTGACCACAGTCATTAGAAGTAAATGCAGAAAGACTGGGATTTTATACCCTCGGTTCTGCTTTGGCTGGCCCCACACTGAGCCCTCTCAACCTCAAGGCAGGTTTTTGTGGGTTGGAGGATGTCCTGGTGAGGAAGCACAGAGAAGGGAGAGGTTCTGTGTTGCTTCAGGAGAAGTGCTGCGTGACAGGAAATACCCACGTGCAGGTGGATGCTGACAGATTCCCTGTAGAGTTTAGTAGAGGATAAAAAGGATGGGGAATGCAAGCGTTTTGGAATTCAGAATGTATCCACATACTTGCAAGGCCAAAAAAACCTCCACGTGACACCAATAGTAACCCACTGCATAAGTCTAACTCTTTCTGCCCACCAGGGAGAGTTGATAGGCATCTAGTAATTTTACTGATAATTCATGTTATAGATCAGTTTGCTTGACAGCCTGAGTATGTGAATTATTCCTGAATTCTATGGGAATAATTCCATTATTCCTATAATCTCAGCTGTTGGCCAGCTTGCAAAAACAGCTCAACACCTTCAGTGTTGACTGTGAGAGTAAAACAAAGCCTAAAATAYAAGACTTCTTGTCCTTCTTTTTAATTAAAGATGTTAATTCTTACTATATTAAAACATAGTTGGGTTGCTGCTGCTTATTTTTTTTTTTCCACAACAGTGCTGTTTTGGTCACTTTGTGCCTGTGTACAGGAGAGTAATTTCAGAAAAAGATAGGAGGTGAAGTGTGTTTGATGTGGAGTGAGCGTTCATGTTTGTGGGGCTGGCTTTCAGATGCAGCCTACCAGTGCTCCTCTGTCGTGTAGTGTGTTTTTACAAGGTCTAATTACTGTTAGTTTTTGTGTCTTCTGCTTTTACCTTTAATGCAGTGATCTGAACAAGTCCAGGCAAACTGTATTCTCAGAAAGCTGCCAATTGCTGAGTGCAGCACATGCAACACAGGTGTTTTGGTGGCAAACTTTTTCTTTCTGCTCTTTGTGTTGAATCTTGCCCAGGATCTAGAAGCATAAGTGGACAAACCATGTGTATCTAGTTATCCTTTTGAAAGTTATCCTTTTGAAAGTCTTACAGGGGGATCACTACAAATCCAGTTTATAGGTAGATTATCTTCTAAAACTAAGATGGCTGTACAGAAAAATAAATGTTGGGAATAGGCTTTGCTGAATACCACGAAACATCGTGTTGTATGGAATACATACTTGGAAGTGTCTCTTTTCAGGGCTGAGAACAACATTTCCAGATGCTTCAGAAAGGCCTCATTATGATTAGTCTAAACCAGAAAAGTAAAGGGTGACAAATTGCAGTGAGGAATTATCCCAGCCTACAAACAGCATGAGATGATAGMGTTGAGTTCTATCAGTTTTTTAATTCATCATTAAGATTTTGACATTTAGTGCTGAAAGATAATGTTGATTTAACTGCTGGATTTTGTAGTTGTGTGTAGCTTTTTCTTGGGTTGGTTGCTTTTATTTAATTTTATTTATTTTTATTCTTTGGTAAATTTACCTAACAATTATCCTGCAGCTGTTKCACTAATTTTAATTTGGAAAATTATTCTGTGTAGAGATTTATTTATAATTACAGAAACTCTGTATCAAAATCTAGTTTCTAATACAGTTGTTATTTCCAAAGGGGAGACAATAGGGAAGAAAATGAAGGATTAGATGATGGTGGCTAATGGAGAGACTTTAAAATAACTTGAACTAGTTTTATTCAAAATTGTCGAAAATCCTATTATTTACAAAATGGTTTTATGGAGTTTCTGGTAGCTTTTGTAATAAAGTCTATTCTTAGGAAAACATACTAGAAGGGTTATTTAAACTGCAGACTGTCAACACTCTCAGTTAATGAACTATTAAGTAGCTATTTTTATAAATRCAGTGATTCACTTAGCAAAGTGATGTATACAAATAATTTTATGCCTAGCCTAGATCCCTCAAAGGCCAGTAAGATGCAGATCAAACCTACAGAGGGAGGGTATTTTTTCAGTTACCTCCAGCTCCAGTATGTTCAGTTTGCAATTAAGAGGATATTTTCTAGCTACCAACCATGCAATATGCACCTGGCATCTGAGAGACAAGCTGTGCTTTTCATGGTTCCTGCATCAATACCATTAACAAAAAGTGTGCAATTAGAAATTAGTCATTCTGTTGAAGTTATAATAGTGTGTCCACCCACACATATGCTAGCTTGAGAGGGTTAAATTGAGCTTTATATGGAGTGAACCAGACGCTATTGCTACACATACCAAGAAGAATAATGCACTTAAAAGCAGGCACCCATTTTTGAAGCAATCTCATCTTTCTTAGAATTGCATATTTAAYGTATTAATTTTCCCTTTCTTATGCTGTTTTTTGTTAATGGTTCAGCATTTGGAAGGCTATCAAAATACCTGTTCAAAAGCTATGTTACAAGATGGAAATAAAAGCTAAACATAACTTGGTTCCTATTTTCTTTCTAGAAATAGTSAAAGTGCTTCTGTACAAACATATTTATCCACAGCAGCAGTAAACATAGAACTTAACTCTGTTAAATAAAGGATTGGTATAAGGAGCAGACTTGCCAATGTGTACTTGATCACTGATGCCCGAAGCTCCTCAGGTAATCAGAGCCAAGCAAGAAGGCATGGAAGGTTTAATAACACTTCTGCTCCCTTCACCCCTTCAGCTTTTCATCATCTTCTGAAAATCGGGGCTGYTTGTTTGCAGTTCCCTATTGGAAACACGTGTTTGTGCTTCAGCAGACCAACCAGCTGTAGAGGAGAGGCTTGCTCGTCGGGAGGTGGTTCCTGGAGGCTGGAATGCCAAAAGGGCTCTGTTCAAATCAGGGAGTTTGAGGTCTGTACTCCAGTTGAGGGTGACCTGAGTTTCGCTGTGCAGGGAAGGTCTGTCCTGGAGGTATCAGTGTGAGCCTGCATGCGTGTTTGTATCGCAAAGCTTGCTAGCAAGAATGGGCTTCTTGCAGAGCTTGGGCTCTTTCCAGCTTGTTCTGAAATGAAACTGCAATTTAGCAGGATAAGAAAAAATATTTTTAAAAGTCATTTATCTTTTGTCACCGGAGTTTTGCTTGGATACTCATAAAAAGGCAATTGTAAGAACAAGTCTTTAGCTAACATATGTAACAYCCAGCTTAAATAAAATCAGCTACTTTGGCAAATTACTTTTTCTGGAAATTAGATTAGAAAGCTTATGAGGTTTGTTTCTTCTTTTTGTTATTTCTGTTTCTTTTGATTCTTATTTGCTCCCATTGGAATGGCAGAAAAGATGCACAGAGAGGGAGGCCAACAGGTGCAATAGATGGGAGTAACCTTACTGGCTGAGTTAGTAAGTCTTTATGGCAAAAGTTGTTGAGCTGCTTAGGAGGGGTAGATGCTTGATACATTTTGTGATGTAGGAAATGGCTACTCATGACTTCATTTATGATATTCCTTGATTTAGGAATGCTGCAGCGCCGATCCCTTTGAAAGATGCGTTTGAAAACTGCAGAAAGCAGCAGATAAGTCTGTAGATAGATTAAGAAATAAAGAAGTTTTGTGTAGAGTGGTTACTCTGCTTCTGTCAGGGTTAGACCTGCTGTGTTACTTTTGCAGAGTATCATTCACGCAGACTGCTAAAATTAGGGT